CTCTCTTTACAAGCTATCTGTTTTTCGCCACGTCACAATCTCTCTTTTTCATCTGTTTCCTTTCCTCTCAGTTGAAATTCTTCCAAATTCTCATGTGTTCCTCAAAAGCAGCCGCAGGTTTTCTGAGCCTACCTCAGATCCCCCTCCACACACTACCACTGGTCCCTCCTCTCTAGTTTGTCATCTGCCGGTGGCGTCATTCTTCTTTTTAATCCCTTCTGTTTTGTTGTCTGTTTTTGGACGCTGCTCAGTGGCGTCTGTAGAAGTCGCTCCCTCCCCGTGGTGTGTCCGCACATGTCTAAAGGGGAGGGTACGGTGGCAGTTGGCATCTCTGTGAGATGGCTGCTTTGTTAGGCAGAGCTGGTTCCACTCACACGGTCTCGCTCCGTGGTGCCAATCAGCTCGCAGCCTGATTCGGTTCAGCCAGCCAATCACAGATATCCATGGTTGCCGTGCTTGATCCTCTTGCCAGTCTCTTGAGTATTCAGTTTCAAACTTTTGCAAGATTTGAACTGAGCTTGAACCAGGCATAATTCAGCCTCATATCGTCTATAGCTGGCTATATGATTTGAACGATCTGTTCCAAACCCTAGTGAGCTGTCTCGTTGATACTGTCTAAATAGGCAGCTATCTGCCGAGGCTAAGTGACAGATTTGAGTTGTTCTCTACGTAGGCAGTGACTATAGTGAGAATGTGGCCATACTAGGCCTTAAAGATGCCATGAAATGGTTTAAAAGTGCAATTTCTTTCCAGCGTTGACACATTTCCTGTCAAAACAAGAATTTAGGGCAGGGCATATGCAAGTACTCATCGCTTATTTTAAATAGCCAGTAGCCTTGACATTACATCACAGCCATGAACATGATGCTTACTATTGTAAGTCAGTGGAATGATGGACAAAAATGAGGATACAATGACACACTGCCCACATGGCTCTTGCTGTCTTTTGGTCGTTATATTTCTCACAGATTTCTGCTTCTAAATCAGATACAGATAAAGTAGCACAGTAAAGATTGCATTCATATGAATGCATTAGTGAGAGCGATTGTGTGTGTGAATTAATTCTACCTGGCAGCATCTCTCTACTAGTACTGAAGCTTAAGAAATATATGGTTGAACTTTTCAGTTTCTACTACTGTCTGAAGTATGGAAGCCCATTTCCGCCACTGGGTTATTAAAAAGGTTATTGCGAATTTTTATCTCACAATTCAGACTTTTTTTCACAGAATTGTGATATAAACTTGCAATTGCGAGCTATAATGTCAGAATTGCGTGATATAAACTCGCAATTGCGAGTTAAAGTCCAGTTTTGAGGGGGGGACTGATATGTTCTCAGAATTGCGAATTTATATCTCACAATTATGACTTTTTAACTTGCAATTGTGAGTTTATATCACAAAATTCGGAGAAAAAAGTCAGAATTGCAAGTTTGTATCAGGCAATTATGAGAATAAAAGTCAGAATTGTGAGATAAAAAGTCGCAATTACCTTCTTTTTTTTTATTCAGTGGCAGAAACGGGCTTACATACTGAAGCCCATGTGTGTGCGTCACAGTGCAGTGGCGCATTAGATTGGAACGGCGATTAACTTACCTGTACAATAAGCTGTTTAAAACGTGCATTCTCCCCTTCAATTTCGAGCATCCAGTAATATAATCACACATGTCTTGTGGAGTGTTGCGACACATCAGAAGGGTTTGGATCCATTTGCAGTTTATTAAGAATCGTCAGACAATACAGGGTCAAATACCGGCAAGGCAGAACAGTAGAGACAAGGCAGCGGCAGAATCGAGAACCAGGCGAGAGATCGGGGCAGGCGGCTAGAGAACAGAGTCCGGGTGAAACAATCCAAGTCGGGGCAGGCAGATAACAATCAGAGAAACAGGAAACAGT